TGAGAGTAGAGAAGAGTAGAGAAGAGTAGATGAGATGGAATGCGACGAGATGAGAGTAGATGAGATAAGATGAGATGAGAGTAAGTGACAGAAGAGTAGAGAAGAGTAGATGAGATGAGATGAGAGTAGATGAAGTGAGATGAGAGTAGATGAGATGAGAGTAGAGTAGAGTAGAGGAGATGAGATGAGAGTAGATGAGATGAGATGAGAGAACAATAGCTGAGATGAGATGAGAGTAGAGAAGAGTAGAGAAGAGTAGAGAAGAGTAGATGAGATGAGAGTAGAGTAGATGACAGTAGATGAGATGAGAAAATAGCGATGAGCAGAGCAGAGCAGGGTCATAGAGATGATAGGATGGGATGAGGGTAGATGAGATGAGAGTAAAAGAGGAAAGAGAATTCAACGAGAAAGGGGAGATGATGTGGGAGGACAGGGGATGGATCAGACTTCAACTGGTAATCATGCATTCACGACGTGTTCCATGTGGTGTGATGTGCGTAGGAGGGGAGGGAGCAGGGCTCCTGCTGGTTTACCTTTCTTGTCGCAGTTCGACAAGTTCCTCAACGGCGGAGGTCTAGCGTTTCTCAACAAGTCTCGCTAAAGCTTTTGGGACTCCTTGATGAAGAACCGAACAAGCGCGAACACGTTCGTCGCCTCGACAGATCTGACAAGGTCAGGCCTCAAGCTCTGCTGCAAAGTTTCTTCAACAAGTCGATGTCCCACATGATCCCTCCACATCAAACTGAGCAGAGAGATGCGAGTTCCGTCCCGACAAAGCAAACAGCCATCCTGCGGACCTTCAGTGCCTTCATGCGAACTACGAGTGATCGAACTCCTTCCATATCTGATCACATCAGCGACAACGAGAGCAACAAGCAGACATACCAGTCGCTGCTCGATTGTGACGCCCAGTCCCTCGTGTACGCGCTGACCCTCAAGACACAGGATGAGCTCGTGGAGTGCTTGCCCGCCCTCGAGCAAATCATCGCCAAGACCCGACAAGGCAGGGGCCAGGTCGGAGACCACAAGCCTCCATCCCTCCAGGTACGTGCCCTCTTCCTCCCGCATGTGTGGCGGGCGGTGCTCAAGAGGCGTCGCAGGTGAACCTGTCTGCACTCAAGCCTGAGCTGCTGTTCCGCATATGGCCCGCCAAGAGGATACTGTTGGGCATGGCAGCATGTCGGCAGCTTAGGATGGCGCTGAGGTTCGCTCCTCGAGTGGTGCTGCAGGGGAGAGCGCGAGCTGAGACTGTGCCGAGCCTCTGGGTGGCAGGCTGCTTGAAGCAGTTCAAAGGGTCGGTGGACGTGAAGTGCTCCGTCGCAAACGTGGAGAGCGTGCTTGGAGCGCTTGTGGAGCTACACAGGACAGGATGGAAGTCGCTTGCGTCCTTGTCTGTCAGTCAAGCCAAGCTGGGCACAGCGCAAGTGAAGCAGGTGGGGCTGATCCTGCAACAGTACAGCTCTCTAGCGCAGGTAAACCTCTCGCGGACTTCTCTTGGCCAGCAGGGAATGTCGCAGTCGTCGACTCGCTGAGCAGCATGCCCCAGATCGAGATCGTGTCGCTGCTCCTGGCCGAGAACAACATCGGCAGCGCGGGCCTGCAGAGTCTTACCAGGGTGGTGGGACGATGCTCGAGCCTGAGGGTGTTGAACCTGAGCTTCAACTCCATCGGAGACTCTCACACCAAGGAGTTCTGCAACCAGCTTGCTTCCTGCCGTCACCTCGAGCGACTGGAGCTGCAAGGAAACATGCTGGGCGCGCGAGGAGCAGGAGAGCTTGGGGCAGTGTTGAGCTCGTTGCGCTACCTCAAGTACCTGGATCTGAGCTACAACTCCATGCAAAGCAGAGGGCTGGAGCGCTTCTGCAGGAGCTTGACGGTATGTGCTTCCCTGCTCCCGCCGGCTGCCTGCATCTGACCCTGCGCAGAGGAGCGGAGTAGAGGAGCTGCGACTCAACGTCAACCAGCTGGAGGCGCAGGGGATGCGGTGCATGTCCAAGCTCATGAGAGCTTGTCCTAGCCTGTCGACCTTGACCCTGAGGAGCAACGACATCCGGGACGACGGGGCGCGAGCGCTGTGCGATGCGCTCATCCTCCCCCACAGGTTGAGGGCTCTCGTCCTGTCGCAGAACAACATCGGGGACGAGGGCGCTCTGCGCATGGTCAACGGGAGCACTGGAGGGCTGAGGGCGGACATGACGGGGAATCAGATCTCGAGGGAGGTGCAGGAGCAGCTTGTCGCATGCGGGCATCGAGTGTAAGGGCTTTACTCATAGGGGCTCGCGGGAGGGGAGAGGAGCTCGGCCACCAGCGGTTAGGAGGTAGTGGTACAAGAGGCTGTCAGACAACCAAGTCGATCCTAGGAGAGCCGCCAGACGAGGAAGTCGGGTAGTGGTACAAGAGGCTGTCAGACAACCAAGTCGATCCCAGGAGAGCTGCCAGACGAGGAAGTCGGGTAGTGGTACAAGAGGCTGTCAGACAACCAAGTCGATCCTAGGAGAGCTGCCAGACGAGGAAGTCGGGTAGTGGTACAAGAGGCTGTCAGACAACCAAGTCGATCCTAGGAGAGCTGCCAGACGAGGAAGTCGGGTAGTGGTACAAGAGGCTGTCAGACAACCAAGTCGATCCTAGGAGAGCTGCCAGACGAGGAAGTCGGGTAGTGGTACAAGAGGCTGTCAGACAACCAAGTCGATCCTAGGAGAGCTGCCAGACGAGGAAGTCGGGTAGTGGTACAAGAGGCTGTCAGACAACCAAGTCGATCCTAGGAGAGCTGCCAGACGAGGAAGTCGTTGCTTCGCTGTGAGGTGAGACGATGCTAGGAGCTGAGGTTTCCTCCTCTCTCTCTTCGTCCCGCTCACCTTCAGCCTGCTCGTCTTGCTGGAGGGACCGGACGACAGCCGGGATTCTAAGATTCGGGACTTGCAGTCGCCGTGAAGCCGCTGCAGAAGCGACGGAGGGCTGGTATGTGTCCAGCTCTGAGGCAGCTGAGGGGACGTTGAGGTTCAGCTGCTGGGCTTCTGGACCGTCGGGCTGGTAGGAACGAGAACGAGTTTGACTCATGGCTCTCACGCTCTCCTGCAGGCTCATCAGCCAGCCATCCTGCAGCTGAGGGCTGCTGGTGTCAGCCTGAGCTGCCGAACGTCGGAGAGAGCGGCGAGGAGGAGCGCCAGCCGCGGTCGGGTCGATCTCGAAGGCCTGGGCCTGCGCGGCGACGAAGGGCTGGGCATCAGCCGATTGGTCAGCGTTGGCGAGCACAGATCTCTTGCAGAGAGGACACTCGGAGGAGAGTCGAAGCCACTGGTCGATGCAGGCACAGTGAAAGACGTGGACGCACGGAAGAGACTTGAGCTCCTCGCCCTCTGCGAACTCTCCCAGGCAGATGGAGCACGTCGGTTTTTCATCCTCGTCCTCTTTGTCCCTGGGTCTCACCCGGTTGTTGGCATGGAACTTGAAGGTCGGGAAGTTGTGCATGGTGGTGCGAGTCATCTCCAGCAGCTGCTCTCGTCGTCGCACGTACTCCGCGTCCTGCCTTTCTCTCCGCCTGATTGCCAACTTCAGTCGCAGGACGGCGTAGCCGCCAAACGATCCCACGACGGCGGTGGAACAGGTTGCACAGATCATGGCTATGAGCCACATCTGTGTGCTCGACGGGCAGCTGGCTGTTTCTTCTGATCCAGTCGTAAGAGCAGAGCTCGTACTGCGGACGCTTGTCGTTGCCGATCATGCACTTGCTGCTCGTGGAGCACCAGCCGCAGTAGCTGTCGTCGATGCAGGAGGAGCAGGAGTCATGCGCGCAGTCCTTAGGGCAGGTGATGTCGCAGCTACAGGGCTGCGCGGTACCACTGTTGTCGTACGGGCATCCCTTGTACTGCAACGTGGTCGTGCCAGGAACGCAGCTCTCGTTGCACCACACGCAGTCTGCGATCTGCGAGCAGGAAACGCATCGATTGAGGGCGGAGCACTTGATGCGGAGGGAGGAGAGGAGGAGGCACTCGGAGCCCGAGGAGGAAGGGACGTATCCGGTGTCGCATTCCCAGTTGCCGCAGGGCTGAGACTGCGAGGAGGTCCAGTGAGAGTTGAGAGGCTTCGAGTTGCCGAGTCTGCTCTGGTAGAGGTCGCACGAGATGCACCTGCCCGTGAGCTTCTCCTGGATGTAGCCTCCTCGACACTGCCACTGACAGCTTCCAACCCAGACGTACGTCGAAGGGTCAGAGGCAGGAGGCCAGAAGGAGGAGGCCTGGCAGCAGCTGCCTGTCTCCGCGTTCTTGACGTAGTTGACCCTGCAGCTCCACGCAGAATCTCCTCCGGTCGCCTCAACGGTCTTGAGTTGCCAGTCGCTCCCGAAGGAGGAGGAGAAGCTTTGAAAGTTCGTGTCCGACTTGATGCCTTGCAGGGAGCTGATGACGCTGCTGACGAGCTGAGGGTCCAGCTGGACGACGTTGACAGTAATGGAGAGAAGCTGCTTGACAGCGGCGACCTGGCGGGTGGCGATGCTGCTGCTGATCGCGGAAAGCTTGACGAGCTGCGAGGAAACGCCAACGACTGAGGCGATGAGGGAGAGGAGGCTGGACTCTCTAGCCAACGAGAAGTCGCTCACTGTGATTTTGCTAACCATAAACTTCACCGTCACAACTGCCGTGCATGAGCTCGGGTTGTTGGCTGACACTTTGTTAACGTCTGACCCCAGCAGCGGCACCTGGAACTTGTTGAGGTACTCAGAGCATGTCAGGCAGTTCCCTCCTGCCGCTGGGTTGTTCCAGTCGCGTCGGGGGGTGGTGGGGAAGTAGCCTGGAAGGCACTGCCACGAGCAGCTGTTAGGCAGCCACTCGAAGTTGGCCTGTAGGTTGAAGGGCGCGAAGAAGTCTGACTGCGAGCAGCAGAGGCTGAACTGCAGCTGGAGGAAGAACCCGTCCTTGCACGTCCAGTCCAGGTAGCGGCAGCTCGTCTCATGGGCTGGCAGCGCCCACTCTGAGTTCGCGGGTTTCTGCCAACTCTCCAGCGTCGCCAGCTCTGCGCAGTCAACGCATCTGTCTGGCGAGGCGGAGGCGGGAGGGTAGGGGTACCAGTCTTGCTCACACTCCCAGAGGCAGGCGGTGAAGTTCCAGAAGAAGATGGAGGGATCTGACGACGGGGGAGTTACCTGGCTCGGACATCGCACGCACAACTTGGCGGCAGAGTCCCATCGCCATCCGACTTGACACTGATAGTTGCAAGTCCTGACGCTGTCGGAGGGTTCAGCACCCTCCGTCAGGTTCCTCGGGCAACAACCCGGGGGGTCAGCAGCGAGAGACTTGAAGAAGTTCAAATCGTCGCACTCCCACGAGAGCCTCGTGCACTCGCTCAGGTTCACGTTGAGAGGCCAGAAAGCGTGCGGAGGCAGAGCCGTGCCCGCAGACTCCTGTGTCAACCAGGTCAAGAGCGAAACTGCCACCACCTGCACCTCACCTGCAGCGTCCTGCAGTCCACACAGAGCTTGTCCTGCGTCAAGAACGATCCAGCCTTGCAGACAAAGTCGCAGCCCGCAATGAAGCGATCAGCCTTGTCGGGCAGAGCAGGACATGATTGACACGACAGCCTCGAGGCATTCCAGGAGAACCCAGGAAGACACTCAACGCTGCAAGGAGCTCCTGGAACTCCTGCTCGAGCATTGGGAATGTTCAGCGGGCAGCAGAGCCGAAACGTCTTGTCCTCTGTATACCCCTCGTCGCACTCCCAGCTGTCCAAGGAGCACGAGGTCACGTTGTCAAGCCACACCGCGTGACGAGGCAGCTCGACCCTCTGACTGGGCGGAACGACCTGAGTGAGGAGGACGGAGCATTTCACACAGACCCCCTGATAGTCGGGATGCCCGAAGTAAGTCTGGTCGCAGCGGAACTCACAATCTCGAGCCGCCTGAACAAACTCGGCATGAGGAGGCAGCGCAACGCTACAAGCTTGGCAGCCTTCGGCTCCACAAGTGTATCCCGGGAGAGCTCGGAAGAGACAGTTAGGTCCTGCCCACTCCGTGTGAAGAGGGAGTGGCGAGCAGGGGAGGCAGGAGGCAGAATTCAGATCCCACCAGAAGCCCAGCAAGCACTCCACCTGTTAGCCATCAGTACTGTAAGCAAAAGAGTCAGGAGGGAATACCCCGCACGGCCGGCTGTTCGCGTTCGCCTTTGAGTTTGAGATGTTGACAGGGCAGCAGAACTTGTCAGTTGCGCTCAAGAGGTTCCCCGGCAGGCATTGCCACGAGTTCGCATCACAAGTAGTCGTGTTGTCGTTCCATGCGGCTCTAGCTGGCAAAGAGATCTGCTCGCTCGGAGCTTTGGCCTGCATCATCATCACTACGCACCTCCTCACACCTCTGCCTCACCTGCTGCAGCTGAGAGCAAGTCAGACACGATAGCGACGCTCCGTCGAGCCTTGCAAAGAAGCCTCGGTCGCACTCGCGGTCGCACTGCTCGGACTGCAGCCCTGGCTTCCACAGCCAGTGAGCATGGACGAGCGGCTGCTCGCACGGGGTGCAGTTACTTCCATTACACTTGTATCCGAGCAGAGGCCCGAAGGTACAAGTCGAGATTCCATCGACCCACTGGGCATGAGGAGGAGCAGCCTCGCCGACTCGCGCCTTGTATTCCGAGCAGCTTCGACAGATCGGGGAGGTGGAGTTGGAGAAGTTGAAGAAACCTTTCTTGCATGTCCACGAGCAGCCCACCGCATCGTATACTCCGTTGAGATCAGTGATGTTGCCGCACGTGACGCACGAACCGTTGGAGGGAAAGAAAGACTGGTCACATGCCCACTCACAAGTCGAAAGCCCGTCTACCCAGTGTGAGTACAACGGCTTGTATGTTCCTTGCATCGCTACTGAGCACACCTAAATTGCGTCAGCTTGACTCCTTCAGTCCTCAACCGGGCGCACCTGACAATCCCTGCCGAAGAAACCGGACAAGCAGGTGTAGTTGCAACCTGAGATCTGCCTCGCATGTTGCGGGATGCAGGAGGTGCAAGCTGACTGCTGGCCTCCAGCAGACCAGGTCCCCTCCCCGCATATAAAGCAGGACGAGCTAACCGAGTCGTAATACTCCCCGGGGAAGCAGCAGGTGAAGACCATCAACAAACCGCTGTAGAAGTAGCCACTCTGAGCGTTGGTGTAGCTGGGAGTTCCCACGAAGACAAACCGACCAGTTGCGCCGACAGAGTAGCCGAAGTTCCATGCATACGATGTGTCCTGAGATTTGAAGATCCTCAACAAGCTTGCAGCCTCACACGACTGATCTATGAGTGTTGTAGGAGCAAGATTCACGTTGACCGCATAAACTCTGTTCTCGCTGGGAGAGCCGACGAAGACAATGTACTTGTGACTTTGAGACTCGTGCTGCTGTATCGCGATTGCCAATCCAAACTGAGCGTTGGGAGTCGGGCTTTGAATTGTGCAAACTCTCTCAATGCCCGATGAGGCAAGATTGCTGTAAATGTGAACAGATGAACTTGCTTGTGAGTAGCTAGGTGCGCTGATTGCAACAAGGTTAGCACGAATGGCAATGTATGAGCCAAATGCAGAAGATTTGTCATCCTTCAAGCTTGAGACCAGTAGCCATCTGTTGTACATTCCGAACAATCCCTCGGAGCCTGTCCCATTTCCGCTCGGCGTTCCGATGGCTTGCCAGACATCAACCTTGCCGGTACCATTATTGTAGCCAGGATAGCCTATCATAACGAAGCTTTCGTTGAGAACAAGAGACTTTGGGGCAGCTGTTGTGTCGATGATGATTCCTTTCGAACCTATCGTCGGCGGAGCACAGCTGAAATTTCTATCGAACCTTCCGCTGGAGCATGCTCGATGTTGTGACGTGTCTCCGCACCAACCCGACGACTCGCAGCACCACACGATTGATGAGGCAGGGGATCCCCTGCAGTCGCAAACAGCATCTCCAAACTGCGGGCCGCATCTTCCAGCAGAGGCGATGGAGGGCGAACTCGCCGTCGCATTTGCTGCACATCCTGACCAGCAGAGCCAATGGGACCCGCGGAAGAGCTCGAGCACCTTGAGAAAGGGTCATGGCGCATCAGCAGGCAACGAGAACAACCTTGACGACAAGCAGACCCCCTGTCGTCGAATCCAAGTAGGCCATAGCTGAGCTCCAGGTCGAGAAAAGATTACCATTGCATAACAGATCACTGTTCCCGCAGTTCACATCTTTCGAAATTTGTAACTTGGGCAACTGGGTCCACAAGTTGCTCGAGTTGTGAATGCTGCAATAGATGTAATTGATGCCAAAGCAGGTGAGCACCTGGGGGAGAAGTGATCTTGTGCGACACTGCAACACACCAGCACTTACCTCGCTCGTCTTGGTCTGAAAGGGCATGCTGCTGCTGTCCGACACTGACCACATCTTCGGATCTTCCTTGTAGAAATCTGGCCCCGCGTCTGCCCGGGCAGATGCAAGACCATCGTACTTGGAGCCCAAGGCAAGGCGATCAGCAGCTGCATCAATATTCGCTGCAAATGCGGAACCTAATGAGCGAGGGAGATGTCAAGTGAACGCATCAACGAGGCCTGATCTACCTGAAGGAGTGTACAAGAACACCTGGGGAGTTGAGATCTGAAAAGATATTGTACCCAAAGACACGTCAAAAGTTGAGCTGCTCCTGAGCTCTTGAGCATGACTGTCTGCAGCTTCTACTTGCACTGCATGTGGCACCGCAAGTAAAGTTGAGACCTCCTCCAGACTTTCTAACGCGATGGGCAGAATATGTGCCGAAGAAAGTGCCAGAAGGCACAAGGAGAAACAAAAGATTCGCCTCATCATCATGCAAAACATTTGATTTTCTTGCTTCCTTTGGTGCTCGAACAGATGATTTCAAATTATTGAATCAAGCCTCACTTAATGCCAGCATGTGTTGTTCAAGGGTAGAACAAGCAAGCTTACTTGTCGATGTTCCAGTCTTCTCCCTAGAGAAGTTAATAATTCCCGTGATCTTCCCAGAAGTTAAGAATACTCGTGTGATCTTCCCAGAAATCAATAATACTCGTGTGATCTTCCTAGAAGTTAATAATACTCGTGTGACCTTCCTAGAAGTTAATAATACTCGTGTGATCTTCCTAGAAGTTAAGAGGTTTAGTGTATCTGTTCTCTTCCTAGAGAAGTTAAGATTCTGTATGAGAGAAGCCTTGAAGGTCTGTTAGTCTCCACTCACTTCAATTTATCATCTCGCTCCCCACGGTCTGTCTCCTCTCTCTCGCTTCTTGGCTCTCATCGTCGCTCCTTCTGCTTTCGCCGGCAAAGATATGCATGAGTTTGCTGAAAGCTATCAACATGGACAACCCTCAAAACCACCCTCCATCTACCCGCATCTGACCATGACCACCCGTCTGATACCTTGGTAAAATACCGGTCTCATGCATAGGTTTTGGACCCCTACCCTGCCTTCGACACTTCAGTTCAAAGTAGCAGGATGCCCCACTAGCTGTAGCGACTATGGCACGGAGTTGCCTGTGAGTCTCCCCGACAGTTCCGGCGAACAGCGCCGGGCCCGCTCATCTGAAACGGCTCTGAACCGTGCGGTTAACCCCTTCCCCCAAGTACCCTACCCCCTGCTCGCAACCACCCATGTACATTGGACCCCTACCTCCCATTCATCATCTTCTACAACTTCCTCTATCCCAGGCAGGAGCAATCTTTCCCACCCCCTTCATTTATCACCCCACCCCCTCCATCCTATCAAGTAGTAAACTTCGAAAAGGCAGATTCGGCACTCACGCTCCTGACCCCAATATTTCAACCCCCACCCCCACCCCCATCACATCTTCATATGCACCCCTATACCCTACCAGTGAACTAGACCACCGGTGACGATGATGTACCCCCGACGGGTACCCCCTTACCTGCCCCACGGAATTTCAGTTCACTTTTTTACTACGGAGACACAATGAGTCAGGCTACCCCTGTATTTTTCTGTTAAAACACCCCTGGTCTGTAGAATTTTGACTTCCGAGTATCGACTTGGGTGCACCCCTCCCCCACCCCTACCCCCCACTCACAGCCTGGCAATTAAATTTTCCGCTATCTCACCCCCATCATGTCCACCCCCACCCCCTCGAAACCAGCTGTTCCCCCTAATCGCTCCTGCTTGTTGTCGGACTGAACAACAATACATTCTTGTCCTCGTTGTTTACCCTCCTTCGCCTGCTTGTCCTCCTCCGCCCTTCCTCTCCTCCTCCTTCTCACTCTCCTCCTTCTCCCCAATCAAAGTTTCTAGTGCTTCTTCTTGTTAAATACCTGAAAATTAGGAGTCACGTTAAAGGTTCAAACAGTGATCTTTGCACAGTTCAATAAGCGATGAAGTAACATTTGAGCTTTCAAGCAAGAAAGTCTTCACAATTCGTGAGAAACAGGGTTTTCCGTTCTGGATGCAGCAGAATTTGCATGAAATAGAGCATCAAACCATGGTCACAGCTGTCGTACAACCCCAAGAAGTGGGGGATTGTTCCAATTCTTTGCTGTCGTCATCAAGCGGTTGGTCAAGTAAAACCTCTACCGGTGCTGTACTTGACTGCAGCCGGTTCCATAACAACTCACATGTGGTTTGACTAGGCATCAAGAAGAAAAAGATGGTCTTCGACACACCTCGACTGTAATCAGTTTGATTTTCCAGACCGATATCTGATGTGCTCATGCAGTCTGGAAGAATCACAGCTCGAAGACCCACAATCACTCAGATCGAGGATTTTGCGTTCGAGGGAGCCTCACGACTGGAGCTCTCTGATAGAGAAACGGGTGATGTCTCAAGATGCAATGTCGTAAATGTTGAAAAGTTGCAGGGAATGAAAAAGGATCCCATTACCACTGGGCATGAGTCCGTGATAAGCGAGAAGATTTTTGAAGGTAGGCCTCCTCGAAATCAGGATGAAGATTTTCTACACGAAGCTTCTTTGCTCTATGATGCCATCAACCGCTGCAACGGTGTCGTCACGGAGAAGGGAGCGGTCGACTGCTTAAATCAGAACGGGATTCACCTCAAAGGGATCGCGAAGCCGAGCGACAAGGAGATGGACTTGGTTGATTTCACGTCTCTGCTCCGGAGAGGCATGCGAACTCATGCAGGCCCTGCGAACCGAACGCTTGCATTACGAAGATTTCGGCAGGTGGGGAAGCAGAGGTTCATCGTCAGCCCCGAGTTGGCTGATGCATTTTTCAGACGCCGGCGATTGAGTTCGATTTGCTGAAATGTCTTTCTTCTTTTCAAGATAGCATCCAAGAGGTGATTCTCGAATGACTGATCCGTCGCATGCTGATCGTATGTCTCTTCCTTCCAGGGTCTCAATGAAACGATTAAGGGAATCGTACAGCATCGTTTTTCCACGAACTACAAATGGATGTAACTGACAGTGACTGTCACTGTCTTGATTTTGTTATCCTTGTCGACAAAGCTAGATCGATTTCCATGCCACGCTCTTAACGGTTAAGTTAGTCATAATTCTGAATTAAGTTAGTCATAATTCTGAATCTTGTTGCAATGAATTCATTCGATAGTCTGAGTCAGATATCTATACCTCTCCTCGCTTATCTGTCGAGTGAGATAGTCGTGTGCATGTTTCCTTCTACTCTCCTCGTATGTTGGAATACATTGCAAGCCCAAACTGCATTAAGGTCCACAGGGGTAGGGGGTAGGTTGCATACCCCTCACAAGTCCAATAATTACTTGTACATTTGTCTGGTAGGGTGGTAAAATTCATTCCGAGGTGAGGGTAGTAGTGATCCGGGGGCCGGTCCATGGGCATCGAGGATTGAGGAGAGGGGCAGAGTCGGGGGAAGAGTGGAGGAGGAGCATCTGACAGACGGTGGACATGCATGTCATCGGCGATAGCAGCACTAAGACAACATCTTCAGTTGCTGCTCCCTTCCTTGATCCTTTCCTCCATGTTATTTGCCTTCCGTGAGTTCAGTGCTGTGGAGTCTCATTGGAGACAAGATTAGTTCGGGCATAATGTCTGCTTCCTCTTCAAGCAGATCGACCCTCTACCTCCTCTGCATCATCTTGACTCTCGACCTTCCCCATGGCTGCAATTCCTTCATGGGGCCTCCTCCCTCTCTCACGGGCGTGCTCTCACGCTCTTGCATGACATATCGAGTTGCGTTCAAACGCTGCCAGCGCTGTGCGACAACGATCATGGCTCAGTACCCAGCAGACGGTGATGGCCGAGTCGATGAGAACCCGCTGGGGCGAATGAACTTCGACAGAAGAGCTCTCAGACCGCCTCGCAACGAGACGCGGGAGGGGCCTGAATCGAGCGCTACCAACTTTTTCTCGCCTAAGTACAACAGGATGGAAGATGTGCAGAAGGAAGGAGGGACGTACTTCTTCCCTCCGGAATCAAGGAGGGGCATAAGGCCTGACCTCCGAACCCTCTCTCCCACCTCTCGTGCTCCCCGGACAGACAGGATAGTCAACGGGCTCAGAGTTCCGAAGCCTGACTTCTTCTCCTCCCAGCCTTCACGTTCTACTACTTCTCCTGCCTCTCGCACTTCTCCTTCTCCTACTGCCTCTCGTCTCTCTCCTGCTCCACCTGCCTCTCGTCCCTCTCCTGCTCCACCTGCCTCTCGCGTTTCTCCTCCTCCCTCACCGTCCAAGCCTCCTCCTCCCTCTTCTCCACCTGCTGTGAAATTCAACGTGAATTCAGGTCCTGCGATGAAGAATCCAGGCGGAACGATGAGCGGAAAGATCAAGCCGGAGAGCCAGGTGAAGGAAGCAGAGACGACGACAGCAGACCCGACGAGTCTCTTCAAGCAGAACGAGCTCGTCGTTCACTCTCAGCATGGCATTGCCAAGTACCTCAGGGTTGAGTATATGTCCATGCAGGATGAGGCCCCGAAGCCTTTCATGGTGCTGCAGTTCGCTGACGGAGTGCTCAAAGAGAGCTTCACGCAGCAGTCCATGGTGACCAAGTACTTCGCCAGCGGCGTTGGATATGCCGCGGAGGAGCCCAAGCTCGACCATCTTTCGCGGCCTGAGGTCTGGACGAAGCGGAAGGCGAAGGCTAAGAGGACGCTGAAGAAGCTCGCGCACGACGTGATCAAGCTACAGGCAGTGAGGAAGCAGAACAAGCGCGAGCCGTACAAGATGCCCGGGCACAAGACAGACTTCGACGATCTGTTTCCTCATGAACCGACAGCTGACCAGCTCAAGGCGTTCAGAGACATCGAGCAAGACTTATGCTCTCGTGATATTCCCATGGACCGACTTGTCTGCGGAGACGTCGGCTTTGGAAAGACAGAAGTCGCCATGCGCGCCCTGTTCCTCTGCGTCTCTCAGCAGCGTCAGGCGATTCTCCTCGCTCCGACCACCGTCCTCGCGATCCAACACTTTCGGACTGTTCAAAGTCGATTCAAAAGCTTTGGCCTGCGACCTGCTCTGCTCAATCGCTTCGTCCCAGCCAAGACGAGGAGAGAGCTACTGCAGCAGGTTGCTGACGGGGAGGTGGACATCCTGGTGGGGACGCACGCGGTCCTCTCCTCTAAGATCTCCTTCCGCAGCCTCGGGCTGGTGGTGATCGACGAGGAGCAACGCTTCGGGGTAAATCAGAAGGAGAAGCTCAAGACTCTCAGTGTTGGCATCGACGTCCTCACCCTTTCTGCCACCCCCATCCCCCGTACGCTGCACATGGCCATGAGCGGGCTGCGGGACATGACGGTCATGCGGACTCCTCCGCGCTCCAAGAAGGAGGTCGAGACTCACGTCGCCAAGTTCTCCGAGCGCCTCCTCCTCAAGGCCCTTCAGCTGGAGTTGGATCGCGCGGGTCAGACCTTCTGCGTCGTTCCTCGCATCGCTGACATCGATCAAGTCGTCGCGACCCTCTACCGGCTGGCGCCAGCAGCTCGAGTGCTGGTGGCGCATGGAGAGCTGAAGGACTTGGAGGAGCGGCTGATCAAGTTCAGCGAGGGAGGAGCAGACGTGCTCGTGTGCACGCCCATCATCGAGTCCGGGCTGGACATTCACACTGCCAACACCATCTTCGTCTTCAACAGCCACTACTTCGGCCTGAGTTCCCTCTACCAGCTGCGCGGGAGGTAACGTGCATGCTCCTCTCCTCTCCTGCTGACCTGCTGCCAGGGTGGGACGAGGCTCGACACAAGCGCACGCCTACTTCACGTTCCCCCCCGACTCCGAGCTCTCTTCTGAGTCCCAGCAGCGCCTCGCCGCCATCACGCGCTACACGAGCCTGGGCTCGGGCTACGAGCTCGCGCAACGAGACCTCGAGATCCGAGGAGCTGGATCCCTGCTGGGGGCAGAGCAGAGCGGAGAAGCGAACGAGGTTGGAGTGGAGCTGTACATGCAGATGCTGAAGGTGAGCGAAGACGTGAAGCGATGCGGCTTGACACGTGCGGTTGCAGGAGATCGTTGCTGAGATAGAGGAGAAGGCGATCATCGAACAGACAAAGCGATGAGATGAGAGGATGGCAAATCATGCTTTTGTTGAAAAACTCATGTTTGAGGAAAGAAGCATCTGAGAAAACATATGTTTAAAACAGTACTGAGAAACAAGCAACAAGACAGACAATTCTACTGTACAACAAACAAAAGACACCCAATAAGAGGTAGATGTTCGATAAGAGATGAGGTAGATGGTGTATGAGAGATGAGGTAGATGTTCGAGATGGCAGTAGGTACAACTGCTGTTACCTCTCCATCGCCTAGCTTTCAGTCCTTGGAGCAGGTCACTCGAATAAAACCAACGGGTAGGGCCGGAAGGATGAAGCCATGCTAGACCGTTGAGCGACGAGGGAGGGGGGAAGAAGACGAGCAAGTACCGCACATGAAGCCATGCTAGACCGTTGAGCGACGAGGGAGGGGGGAAGAAGACGAGCAAGTACCGCACAAGACCTGACATGTAGACCTGCGTCTGCGATATGGCAGGGGTGAAGGAAAACTCGCCCGCCAAGAGCAAGAAGAAAACGAGATTTCTACCCCAGCATCTCTCGCACTACAAGAGTTTGATCCATGACAACGAACGGAGGGCTTTTCGAAGAATGTACTCGCAGTTCTACATGTACAGCCCTCTCAAGCAATGGAGTATGTTCGACGTTTTCTCTTTCCTCGCCGACTTCCTCAACTTGCAGGACGTGCACTACAAGGGCAAGCACGAGTTCTCTGCTCGCAGCATCTATGGCGGAGTGGATACCTTCGAGGACGTACAGGTTTTGAGGCGAGTGATTGTCAACAGCATCGACGGGAGCCGGCTCATGAGCATCGTCGGCAACAACAACCTTGCGCGCATGCTCGGCATCTCCTCCCGCCTCTCCCAGCAGGTTGTCAAGGGCCTCCAGCAGTACTGGGAGATGGGCACCGACGTCTCGGTCAAGGTTACGGATGACGTGACGGTGTCAACGAGTGAGGTGGAGGAGCTGGATCGCTGCTTGCGGTCACGAGTGAGGCTGCTCAAGGACGAGCTTCGGCTCAAGGACGCGCGCAGGCGCATCCAACCGCTGCAGGCTGAGCTGCTCAAGACGCGCGCGGAGGAGAGGGAGATGAAGCACCACGCGCAGGTATCGGGCACCTCGCAGGGCCTGAAGCAGCTGAGAACGACGACCACAGACCGACTGCGCGACCTGCAGGCGAGGCTGCAGCACCTGAACCAGCTGGCGAAGGAGCTGGAGGAGAGCGTGTCACGTGACAAGGAGGCGCACGAGGCTCTGAGCCAGCGAGTGTGCGACTCGTATGCGAGCAGGCAGAGTGAGCTCGCTGCCACCGTCGAGCAGCAGCAGAAAGCGCAGCGAGACTTGGCGATGCAGAGAGAAGACGTGGAGTTCGAGGTGAGCATGATGACTAACGAACTCAAGCATCAGCTCGCCTCCTGCTACGCACCAGTGCACAATCAGAAACAAAGAGTAGATCGCAAAGTGAAGCTCGACGGTATCATGCAGCTTATCCTCTTTGCTGAGTCCATGAGCAACAAGGTCAACGTCAACCCCAACATCTCCTCCAAAGTCACAAGCCTCAAGCACTCCTGCTCGCTCCTGCTGGACATGTGCCCGGCTGACAAGTACCTGGACATCGTTGAAAGCCAGCTGGGCCTGAGCAGAGCATGTCAGGACGAGCAAGAGGACGCGGAAGAGACTCTCACAAGTCAGCGTGATGAATGCAAGAGAGCGATGGAGCTGGCGACGGATCTTTACAAGCGAACGGGCGCGATGGAGATAATGAGCCCCTCGCTCTCCATTCTCGACGAGCAGATCGCTGCTCTTGACGATCGCCTTGCTCGCGTCCTTCGAAGGAAGCGCAACCTTCATTCTCAACTTCAGCCGCCCTCCGAGCCCCCGGCGTCGGACGACAGCGAAGACAAGCCCTACGTGAACGAGACAGTCTTCAAACGGATCATGCTGCAGGTGGTGGAGCAGGAGAAGGAGCAGGCTCTCAAGGCTCCTCCTCCCTCCCTCTACTCCCTCCAGCTCTGGTTTGCTACCGCCTCGGACCCTCAGCAGCTCTCAGCTGAAACTGCTCATGCCGGCGAGGAAGACAAGGACGCGCCAGCGGCTGCTGACTCGTCGGCAGCCTGGGCGAGTAACTTGAAGCTGCCAGCAGTCTGAGTCACTGATTCAGTGAAGTGATGATGGTCCTCGTACTGAGCTTTAACCGTTAGTAAACTTTGAGTACGTGACTCAGTGACTCCGGGCCTATGGCCACCCCGAGTCGGAGCCAGGCCCGTCGTGATCCGGCGCACTCGCGGTCCAGCCCGTCGTGACTCGCGGCCCAGCCGGGCACTGAACTTGACGGGTGACCGCCAGGGCCGGGCCGCGCTGCCATCACTGTGACGGGCCGCCGCCCGGCGTGAGTAACCCTCATCCCTCCTCGGACCCACATTGATACCACCCCTTCAGCCACCCATTCTCTGACCCCTTCTAGTTGGAAAAGCTCAAACCATGATTCATGGCACGCGGATCATGGGGAATGTAGTTAGTGGAGATGAAGGTGAAGAGACAGATAAAGATTTATCAGCAGGAGACATGAGATTGAAAAATCACAAATGGAGGCATATAATGATGATTGGGATGGAGATGATGGAGATGATGGAGATCAAAATGATATGATGGGTCGATGATTGAGTGGATAGGGCGGCGACTAAAGAGACGATGGAGATGGAGATGACGGATATTAAAATGATGATGAAAAATTCATCATGAGGATGTTGACGAAAACATTGTGGGAGACGGAGAAAGATGATCAAGTTGTGTAGATTATGATGGAGACGATGATTGAGACCATAGAGATGATATCAGACGTGAAGCACAAGGACATGGGGGTAAAACATATGAGAGGTATAGAATGAAAGTACAGAGTCACCGAATGTCTCTGAGAGTAACAGTTCAGGATGAATCTGAGGAGTTGTCGGAGCAGTTTTCTTATCTATGTTAACAGGGGATTTCGCCATGTTGTTTGGAACGGATCCCGTTTCATTCAAAGAGGAGAATCGCTAGCCCGGCAGGAGCCTCGTCCTTCAGTTCTGATCCTCCGCACCTAGAATGACGTCCTCCACAGCGCCCGCTGAGAGCGCCGGAGGAAATCTGCCGGATGCGTTGAAGGAAGCAGTGAAGGCGGCACTGGGCCCGAGATATCCTGAGTTTGTGAAGACGGTGAGGAGCATGAAGAACAAGCAGATAGATGTTGCAGCGGCGAATCTGATGGTCTCGACGCTTCTTGCCGGCAGAAACGACCTGGTGGAGCAGTTCAAGAGCTGGAGTCAGTCTGCTGGCCCCTCCCAACCTGCTGCTCAGCCACAACCTGCTTCTGCATCGTCGTCAGCCCAGAAGCCGACAGGCGCGACAGGGCTGGGAACAAACATGTTTGAAGCGGGAGGGGCAAGCAAGCCTGGCTCGATGTCACTCTCACAAGGCATCTCTCCGATCAAAGGCGGCAGCTCTCAGACAGCTGAGAATCAGTCAGAGAGCAAGCCCTCGCCCACCTCCAAGATAGCAACGGATGGGAAACTCGGAGCACAAACCAAGACGGCAGAAGCAGTCAACCCTGTAGGGTCAGCGTCAAAGACTCCAGTAGTGAAAGAGAAGTCTCCCAACATCCTTTCAGACCCCGTGCTGCACAAAGCCGGGCATGTCTCCAGCAGACACGGCTCGCTGGACCACGTACAGATGTTTCCCTTCGGCTCGAGAGCTTTCTCGTACATGTTCAAGGACCCAGCTGAAGTCAAGCAGAAAGACTCTCACTGGTTGCAGATCAAGGACTCATACGCCTCCCCCTCGCGTCTCAATGTCGGGACAAGTCGAAGCTTGACTCCCCGTCTCCTCAACCAGTTTAAGAGCTCGCCGTCGGTGAGTACCCGCCCCCCCACCCCCTCTCCTTGTTGCTCATTTTGCTGCTTTTCCTTCGAGCTGATTCGATGGCTCAGCAGCGCTTTGACCGTCCGTCGCCTGTGGTTCAGCTGAACCAGTCGAGCTTGAGGCTGGTGATCGACCGCGACATCTCTTCCCTCATCGACGATCAGATCGTCGGACGGTCGGAGGATGCGCGAGAAGTTCTCGATGGGTGAGCCGTGCCGCTGTCTTGCTCGTGACCTCCCTGACGTGACTTGGATGCTCAGGTGTAGGTCCACCGAATCCACTCCTCGGTCTTCACAAGACTTGGGATCGGTCCGACGGTCCGACAGCGACGACTGGGAGGAGGACAACGTCTTCCGAGAACCCAACACTCCTGACTACTCGTCGAGTTCCTCGCAGAGGAAGGAGGAGGCTCTCCAGGCTCTGCAAGGCTTGACTGGTCTGGGACGTGAAGCCAAGAGCGACTGGCAGAAGAGAAGGGAGCAGAAGATCGCGGCGCAGCTCAAGCGCCATCATGCTGCAGGAGAGGAAGCAGTGAAGGGCATGGAGCAGGAGGTACAGCGGATACGGGGAGTGCTAAAGGATACGTCTCAATCGGAGAGCAAGAGCACCCTCGAGGAGTTGGTCCAGGCTCTCAACAAGACCTCGGGCTCGATGGAGGAGAAGCTCAAGCCTCTCTCGTCTGCCTGGACGTACTTGCTCTACGGGCATGCGGAAGGCAGCAAGGGAGAAGTCGAGGAGCGGCTGGCGGATGTGACGAGGCTCCAGAGCAAATCAAAATCTCTGAAGAGCGATATACTTGAGCTGGAGTCCAGCATCAACGAGAAACAGAAAGAGCTCATCAGGATCTCCGAGGCCCGCAAGGCTCTCGCGCCTTCTTGGATCGGCCTGATCGCCACTCATGACATCGCGGATCTCGTGAGAGCTCGGGCTCAGCTGGGCGATGTTTGCAAGGGGATCTCTGAACTCAGCGCAGAGGTGTGGGAGGAGTCAGGGCCGCAGCACCTCAAGAGCAGCTTGAGCCTGCAGGATCGAGCGGAGAAGCTCCGACAGTTTGCCAAGGAACGAGATAGCCAGATGGACTCTGGTGGCAGCACAAAGCTGCGAGCGTTGCTGATTGCCCTCGTCCTGACCCGCTCAGACTCCAAGGAAGCAGCCGTCAGCCTGACCCTCGAGATCATTTCTATCCTCCCCAACGTCCTTCCCATCCTCGTCAAGCTCTGTATCTCTCGCTGCGCTGCTCTGCTCCCCTTCTTTGCCCCTTCCCGCCAGCCCTACAAGAACAAGAACGAGCCTAACAGCCTCCGCTGTCCCCTTGGCCTCCCCATCTCCGGTAGACGAGACTGCAACAGGTTTCCGCTTCCCATCCCCGAGTACAGCGCGAGGCTGAAGGAGGACGTGGACGCAGCGGCGACGAACATCTTCCTGGTAAAGGATAAACCGCTCAAGGTGGGGAACATCGCGTCAATCTGCCTGCTGGATGAGGAATGGATCCGCATCCTTTCCGACTCCCCCGGCGCCGACGGGGCCGTGCAGGTGGAGCGGAAGCTTTTCGGATCCAAGGAGGCGACGCACAAGCGAGGAGCGAAGCTGATCCCGCACGTGATGTACCCGGAGGGAGGGACGGGAGTCACGGAGATGTTCGCTCGCCTCCTCGTCGCTCTCTCCGGCATGGACGCCAAGTGGACTCACGGGACGTTCCAGCAGTTTGACCCCAACGGCCCCAAGCGGTCAGCGGAGGAGAGGATGTACACATGGCTCGCCAGTGCTGCTCGCCTCTGCTCTGGTCCTGTAGCGCACGACGAGGACAGGGAGAGGATCAAGTACATGCTGCAGCACATGAGCACCTTCCTGCAGGTCACTTCCGTCCCGCTCGTCTCCTCCTACCCCAAGCAGGCCAGGAAGATCGCGATCGCGCTCAAGGGAAGCGCAGCTGTCCTCGAAATATGCAAGACCCTTCCGGAGGCCAGCACGCTGATCCCCATGCTCGACGCTCTTGCATCAGAGGAGGAGGAAGAAAAGAAGATAGCAACCTTGAAATCCTACGTAATCCAGTCGAGCAAGCAGGAAGAGGAGGAGGGGGAGCAGTATATCGACACGCTGCTCTCGAGGACGTGGGACAGCTTGAGCAAGGAGCAGCACGACATGTTCAAGAAGATCTCAGATGGGGCTGGTTTCAACAACATTGGGTCCGACAAGTCGCAGATTGACAACAAAGCGAAATTCTTCTCGGCTGTTCTGCGTGGAGACCCTTCCGCCCTTGGTTCCTCACCCATCTACTACGATACCGTGCAGAGCCTGACGCAGCTGATGGCGGGCAAGAGCGAGGAGGAGAAGAAGACGATGAAGGAGCTGATCCAGGCGAAGCTCGCCGAGAAGTTCGTCGAGCGCATTCAGCAGCTGCCTAAGATGTTCACCTTCGGCGGAGGCTTCCAGGGCTTCGCATGGTCGGCATGTCTGGGTCGGGTGGCCGGGGCTTCTGAGGAGGGGTTGTCCTTCCTCAAGTTCCTCGGGCAGCTGCTGGGGGATGAGCACGTGGGAGTGCCGCACATGCGATGCCGAGCTGAACCGTCGGAGCGACTGAACAAGGGAAATGGCGAGACGCGTGCATGCGTGAACATGTTCGCTGCTTTGATGCAGGTGAGGAGAGGGAGGGAGGGAGATGAGCTGAGCACTTGTAGAACGAGGAACTGTCGCTAGCCGCGGCCAAGCAGCTAGCGGAGGACACGATCGGTGTGGGTAAAAGTGCTGAGCTACAGACAATCAATGTGGATGGCGTACAGTACGTCAATAGGTTGTCGACTCTCACAACATCCTGAAGTTTCATTTCCTCCTCCTCGTCCTCCTCGTCCTCCTCGTCCTCGTCCTGCTCGTCCTCCTCCTGCTTGTCCTCCTCCTCTACCTTCTTCTTTTCCTCCTGTTATCTCCGTTCTGTTTTGTTCAGCTCATGCAGACCGCAGCGCCTTCTTCACCTACCTCTGGGTCAGAGAGTTCTGCGGGAAGCAGTCCATCGTGGCGGCACTGCAGCAGGGAGCCAACGCGTCTGCCGCACTTGAAGCGCTCGAGGCAGCGGCAGAGACGCTCAACACCGTCCTCAAGGTCGCTGGGAGGATCTGGGACCAGAAATACGGGTAAGGAGGGGGAGGGGGAGGGGAAGGAGGAGGAGGAGGAGGAGGAGGAGGAGGAGGAGGAGGAGGAGGAGGAGGAGGAGGAGATGGGGATCCTGAGGAGACGAGC